GTTAACTACACTGAAGTGGTTAACACTAGAAAAAAGGCGCTTCCAGCGCCGATGCGTACATGTATATAAATGTCTTAATGGTCTCACGCATCACGAACTAACATTAGTCACTCAGCAAGAACAGCATAGTTACAACACAAGAAATAAAGCAAACCTCAAAATTCCATCCGTTAAAAGAAACTGGGGCAAACAAAGAACTGGCTATCATGCTGTAAGTGATTTTAACTCGCTAGACAAAACTATACGAGCCTCTGATAATGTAAATGTTTTGAAGCGTCAGATTTTAAATTCATTGATTTAAGTTTTGTATTACACATAAGATACATTAGTTTTTAGTAGCATCTTTTAGCATTTTTATTCATTGTAAATTTTTAATTTTTAATTTTCGAGGTCCTTTTTGTAAACCACTTTTTAGTGAAAAAGTTTCCTCATTAAAGATTGTCATTATTATTATTATTATTATTGTTATCTGAACGATATAGGGTATTTATTTTAACAGTTGGATGTACTGCTGTGGGTACTAGTTACTGTGCTGATAATGGCCATTTGAAAGTGTTTGACTCACATCCTAGAGATGTTTATGGTAAAAGTCGCGCTCGAGGGACATGTGTTCTATTAGATATATCATCTACAGACAACTTAGTGCATCACTTTCAAAGTTTATTTGGAGCAACTGATCTGTATGAATTAAAAGGTTTACAAATTACAAAATATGATATGGCAATAATATAAGAGAGGTGTTAAAGAGATCAGGTCAACACAAGTGTTACAAAGACCAGTGTTTTGCAGTAGTTCTTTATTCCATTTCATGTTACTCTATCATTTCACCTTGTAGTTACTGGAACTCAAATACCTTAGATGCAATCATTGAAAATGGATCTCAGCTTAACAATACAATGCAGAGTAAGCACTGTTTAACATCTCTTACCCTGCCTAACAGTGTTACAATTTTTGGTACTGACATAAATGCACACGTTAATGAAGTAAGCCACGGAGAAATAAGTAATTTAACTGAAAGCAGAATATCTTTAGAGACCTTGATTTTAAGGAACCACACTGGGAAAACAGGTTTTCAAGTTACCGTATAGCTTGTATTTATCAAAAAAATACAAAAGTAAAGCAATTTTTTTTGCTCTTCTGATATATGAAGACGGTCATTCACCTGAAATGAAACACACAAATCACATTCGTGGTGTAAATGATCTAGTACAGGAAATTAATAATATCATTCAAAATAAACAGGAATGTCAGACTATGGAATACAATATACAATTAATTTGCTTTTCATGTAAAATTACTGAAATTAAAAGGAAACGCATCAGGAGAAAACACAGAAAAAAACATGACAGCATGGAACCTGTTTCCAAGAAAAGGTTTCTAGAAGACATTAAAAGAAAATATTCAACTATTGATACTAGAAAGAAGAAAGAATTATTTTCCCACCCCAATGATAAATTAGTGAAAGCCAGATCGGTTGAATTGTGTATTAACCAGATTAAGAGGAAAATATGAGAAGGCCCTTAATTTATATGTACTGTCTGTAATTGAATACTTTATAAAAATTAGTAATAACATGCATAAACAAGAAGTACCCTTGCCAAACATATTTCAATATTCAACAGTCATTTGATGGAAAACAGTATATATGCAATACATGTCATTCAAAGGTCATAACGGGAAAATTACCATGTCAGGCTGTAGTGAATAATACGTATGTGGATGAAATACCCACGGAACTATCCTCACTAGAAAAACAAGAACAAATACTAATAGCTCAACGAATAGTATTTAAGAAGATTGTATATGTATATCTTCACCTTCTATCATATCATTTAAATAAATTTTGATAGATTTCCGATTTTCTTTGTGTGTTTTTATTTTTCCTTGAGGGATATCTTTATCTAAGGAATAAAGAATCATAGTTTGCTTCACAAGAAGCTGAGGAAAATTGAATGTACATTGACTTGTATTCTTTACGATAAGTATGTGAATGTCTATGTACTTGTATAGTATTTACAAGATCAAATAATTTAGGATAATGTACTGGCTTATGACAACTAATTATCTTATCATTATATGTTGTCAATTGTTCATCAATATCTATATGAAACTGAGGTGCTCCTTCACTCCACACGAGCATGTGTATATGAGGTGACTCTCTCTGTTGATATTCTACTCTGTAAAACCAGACTGATATTTTGCCTAATGGTTCAGCAGAGCTCAACAAGAATTTTGTTGGAAACTGATTAACTTGATAGTCAAAATGCCATACACATGTTACAGGGTCACTTTGAATTAAGCAACACCTATCCTCCCAGTTCAAACCCTCTATTTGTTCATCTGTATATTTTTTATTGTCATCAAACTGACCAAGTGTTCTAAGTATATGAATCCATTCTGTTTCTGCTGACGAGAAAGTACAAAACAGTGTAATATACAGATCCTAGCTGTCTTATCATAGCAAACAAATCTCTCTTAGCTTTTTCAAGGTATGGAGGTGAACCTCTCAATGCATTTAAAAGCTTATGTCCCTCATCATGACAAAATCTGTCTAAGGCCCCCTGCTGCTTTAATTGCTGTGCTTTGACATTCCTACTATTTCCTTTGCATTTTCTAGGAGCAATATGTGACTCTCCTAGAAGGATTTTCATTTGTGACTTTTTTGTTTTAAAGAAAATATTTTCCACACACATTGCAGCACGTCTATCAGATCGTCTAAGTTCTGATTTACAAATATCGCTGAAGTTAACATTGACTTTTCGGTGCCTAGTGTCTGACCTTGATTAACCAAGAAATATACCAAGATATGCTAATTCTTCACAATATTTATCTCTAAAAACACTCAATGGTCTGTTGCCTTCAGCTGGAGCTATGTTTAAAGTATTCTGCCGTTCACTATCTTCTAAAAAGTCAGTTGTTGTTAACATAGTATCAGTTGCACCTACAGGTATTTCTGCTTCACCTTCACTTAAGTCATTGTTGTCTAATATTTCAGAACTGCTATTGCTGTGAGCATTTTTATCACCTGATTCTGCTTGTGAACAGTCATTGTTATGAATTTCATCTTAAGCAATTTATATTGTACTTATCAACCCAGTCTTTATCAAAGACTATACCTTCATCTCTATATAAACTGCTATAAGTAATCAACCATTTTGCTCCTTGAACAACTTTATGTGGTCTGACATTTAATGACAATGCTGAACTTTTTTGCTGTAGCTTTCCTTTCAAAATAATTTTGATTGTTGCAGTTTGGCATGGTACCTGTGGTAACATAGTAAGTGTATAAGTTGCATCAACTGGTACATTAACAATATTTCCATGTATCTTAAGTTGTCTTCCTCTAGGTGCTTGTATTAATTTCTAAAATGCAATTCTTGGTGCTAGTAATCTACACTCTAATTAACTAAGGTAAAAAAAATATGGTTTCTCTGGAAATATCATACCATTAGCGACTGCACATGGTGGCATCTTTCTCTTAATCAATTGATGCTGACGTGTCCTACAAATCCACTCTTTGTTATCAACACTTGTTTTATTACACAGATAAATTTTAATGTCGGGATTGGACTGTCAAAGTTTGTCAACATTTAGTACACCATATCTATACCACAAGTGGTCACAGCAAGTGCATATCTACAGTGGCCCTCGACTCACTATTTAATTAATAACTCAATAGAAATATTTGAAGCACCATAATTTCTTTGGTATTCATTACGTTTTGCTTTTTTCTCTGGTGTACTTGAAGTTTTATTATAATTTCTTTAGTATTCATTACGGTTTGCTTTTTTCTCTGGTATTCTTGAAGTTTTTCAGTCTATAATTTCTGTGGTAGTCACTGCATTTTGCTTTTTTCTGTGGAGATGTTTGAGTTGTTCTATAATTTCTTTGATATTTATTTTGTTTTGCTTTTTTTGGGGTGATTGTGTACAAATTCTATATTGTTTCCTGTATTCAGCTTTTTGTTGCCTTGTGTATTTACAATTATTTAATTGAAAATTTTTTGATACTTTTTTTCGACTAGAAAGTGTACAAGCATTGCTGTCAATTGAATTACTAGGTGTTTCACAGTCAGGTTGAACTGATTTGGAGTATACAAAGCTGTGCATGATGAAACATGATACATTTCATCTATATGTCCTAAATAGATTGTTTTTGAGTTTTCTAACAAATCAGGATGCACAGGTTCAACTTATGTCAATTTTCTTAAGTTTTCACTTAATTATATAATTTGAATGTTTAGAATCATTGCATCAGAAACTGCTTTTATTATAATGTTATCTGCTCAGGTACGTTGTATAGACATATCAGATAAATACTGTAACAAAGTCACATCAACTACTTTTTCTATGAATCGTTCAGGATTGTCTGTCAAATAACCAAGTCCTATGGCTCTGATTTCTACATAATGACTTGACTCACCATCATAACTGGTGTGATATTGATTTAAATAAACAATCACCTCCACTGCCAACATCTAATGGTCTTAATCCATTTCTTAACATTCCACAGTGCAATAAAAAATTAGGGTTACTAAAGGAAATGTTTTCAGTAGTATTAGCTATCATGGGACCAGGATTTAATTCAACATCACCATGCAGACATTAATATTCTTTGTGTATAGATACATATGTAGCTGCTGATTTGATAGTTTTCTTATAATAGAAACTATAGAAACTGTCTTGTCTTTGTTCCATTTAAGCTTAAAATTTCTAGCAATGTGATGTAAAGCAGAAGAAAAAGGTAATGTTTTTCTTAGTATTTTTTGGCATTTGGTTCTTATTGGTATACTATTTAGTGAATGTAACATTATTTTCAATGGTATTCGATCTTGATGGTTCTCTATCTCTTACTCTTCGATTTTTAACTTTTGAACACAATCGGGAATGTTAATGGTTTCCAACACATTTCAGTAAATTTATCTGAGACACTGACAGTTCTTTATCTGAAGATGCATTGCAATCAATGGACACTTGATTATATATAGAACCAGGTACAACTTTCATTAATGCATTTATTGAAATACACAGTTGTTTATATTGTTTGCACAAATAATCTGGCGTTCTAGAGTTAATTTTGGCAAAATTCACAAGGTTATGGCATAGTAAGTAAATTTTGTTCCCCACTGCTGGGTTTGTTTGCCTCCCGAAGGAGTTATCTTGTCCCATTCCTTGGTTTGTTTGCCTCTCGAAGGAGTTGTATTGTCCCATTGCTAGGTTTGTTCGCCTCCAGAAGGAGTTCTATTGCCCCATTGCTGGGTTTGTTCGCCTCCAGAAGGAGTTGTATTGCCCCATTACTGGGTTTGTTCGCCTCTAGAAGGAGTTGTATTGCCCCATTGCTGGGTTTGTTCGCCTCCAGAAGGAGTTGTATTGTCCCATTGCTGGGTTTGTTCGCCTACAGAAGGAGTTGTATATATCGTCCCATTGCTGGGTTTGTTTGCCTCCCGAAGGAGTTGTATTATCCCATTGCTGGGTTTGTTCGCCTCTAGAAGGAGTTGTATTGTCCCATAGCTGGGTTTGTTCGCCTCCAGAAGGAGTTGTATTTCCCCATTGCTGGGTTTGTTTGCCTCCCGAAGGAGTTGTATTTCCCCATTGCTGGGTTTGTTTGCCACCCGAAGGAGTTGTCATGTCCCATTGCTGAGTTTGTTTGACTCCCGAAGGAGTTGCTTTGCCCCATTGCTGGCTTTTTTTGACTCCCGTAAAACATGTCTCGATTTAGTTTTTTTACTTTGCTTTAAAACTAAGAGAGAGCAAGAACAGCTTCACTTACATGAAACATGGCCAGCAGGTTATTCTTGACTTCTTGGGAATGTTGAAGACAAAAGTATGTCAGAACATGCACTACAGTGGGGGTCATGACAAAAGTATCACCAACCCCTCCCCCTGGGGAATCACTAACTGTGTATTCTTTGAGTGCAGCAGACAGCAACTTACGAATAAAAACCTGGTGGAAATGAGACCTGCAGCAAAAAAAATTGTATTTTAATATTCACTTCATAAACAATAGATTATCAATAGAGACTGATGTGCATGAAGTTCACAGACAAATAACTACAAAGAACATTTATTACCTTATTACAACTTCACCTTGGTTGTAATGTATACAAACCAGTTTAGACATAAGCTTAAACAGTTCAATGGGTATTCACATGTGCTGAGACGTGAATGACTAAAACTCAATAAAGGAATTGCAGTGACTTTGACAAGCATAATAATCTCAGGAAGCTCCGACTCTTACAAATATGGTCTACAAAGAACTAGTAAAGTATTTCTATGCATGGTGCCATGACCTATATGCTAGGATTCTCTCCATAAACAGAGGAAAATCTTTTACACATACCCAATATGAGCTAAATCCGGTCCAAATGAGGAGCAGACACTGCACACATACATCAACCTCACTACGGCTAACTCTGACAAATAAAAAAATCAACAACAACAACAACAGTTGCTATTGATACAAATACCGAAAAGGAACTCAATAATCATAGTTTATAGTTGTTTGTTTTAACAAGCTAATAAATAAAAGCAATAATTAACTGTGATCATGTCTACCTTGTATAATGGAAAAATGTACATGTAGGTGCTATTGCATTTTTCAATAGCTTTGAATTATTTTGGAGCTACATGAAACACCTTATGAAGCCAAACTGCCCTCAAGCCATTCTTACACTGACAAGAAATATGTTACACTGCATGCATACAAACATACAGGTAGCTTACAATTTACCACTGCAATGGACTGTAATATCCATCAATCTTTGAACATCAGGAAATAACATCCACTTATAAAGACCCTCACTTAGAGACATAGTTATACCAGCGGCTGTAATGAAAATATAATTATTCATGATATTAAAAAAGATGAAAGAAGTGTGTTTTCGTCACAAGTATGGACCTTTGCATAAATCTTTTCTCATGCAATTTGATGGGCAAAGAGTAAACACATTTTAAGGGTTTAAATATTCAGCACTCAAAGAGCACTGCATAGAAATAAAAAAAATCAAATTATGATATTTAATAAGTGCATGATGCCGGATAATTTTAATTTATTTCACTTATAATTTACTGGAAAGTGGTCCTAAGAAAGTTCTTGCTTATTTCAAAATTAAAAATTGCAATATAATATATGGTTATTTCTTATAAATATCCATATGATTTGCATACCTTCACTGCATTTGAAGACACCGAAGTAAGATTCTTGAAGAGTTTACCTTTGTTACAATTAAATAATCTTAAAAAAAGAAAAGAAAGAAAAGAAAAAATAAAATAGAAATTAAAAAATTAAAAAGATAAAATGGAAGAAAAAAAACCCTACAGATACAGAGAGTCTGAGTCTTCTGATCAATATAAGCTGATACTGTAATAGAACGATGCAATTTGCTCAGCTCAGGAAGTGGATGAAAGCAGAGATGCCATTAAAAGACAAGCCATGGCATTCACAACCTTAAAATCAAATTATCTGAACACTATTGGTATTACCTGACAAATGAGTGGCGCTTAGGCAGTAGGGTTATATAATTATCAACAAATCTGCACACAACTTCAATGACCAGCAAGCGCTTGAGTGAAACGTTCTAAGGCCAGAGTTCCTTTTATAAGCTGGTGTTGTAATATTGTTATTAGAAGCGGATCTCGTGTTATAATTAACCAATTAGCAGGTGTTTGGTCTTCTTTGTGTTTGGTATCATCCTGTTCAATTTAAACCAACTGTTGGCCTTGTCTAGACTATTATTAAGAGTGTTTTGAATATCTGTACAATTGGTTCCGCTCGACCAGATCGTTGTATCATCGGCATATATGTCGACTTCAGTGTTCTTTAACAGGAGGGGTAGATCATTCATATAGATAGAAAACAGAAGCGGACCTAAAATGGAACCTTGTGGTACCCCGACTTCAAGATTTAAAGGGCTAGACAACACACCGGAGACGGATACAACTTGTGTGCGGCCTGTTAAGTAAGATCTGAACCAGTCTAGTGTGTTTGTTGCAGTGTGGTATTTATCAAGTTTAGCAAGTAAAATGTCATGGTTGACTGAGTCGAAGGCCTTGCTTAGGTCTAAAAAGACAGTACCAACGAGTTCACTGTTGTCCATGGCTTTCAACCAGTTGTCGGTAATATTAAGCAGAGCAGTTTCACATGAGTGATATGGGCGGTAAGCGGACTGGTTACTGTATAGTAGATTGTTCGAAGTTAGATACCGTAAGTAGGCGGATGCTATCTGTCTTTCTAGCGGTTTAGAGAGTATAGGTAGAACAGATATGGGACGGTAATTGCCTCTCTCTTGTATCGAGTCTTTATTATGGAGTGGTAGTACTTTAGCTATCTTAAAGGCATCAGGAAAAACGCCATTACTGATGCTAGCATTGTAAATAAGCGCGAGGCTTGAAGATATTACTGGGAGAGCTTCTTTCAGCACACGGACACTGATACCATCTAGACCTGTTGCTTTGTTTGAAGGAATTTTGCTCAGGTCTGCTTCAACAATTTCCTTGGTAATAGGTGGGATACAAAATTTATCTTGTGAAGAGGGCGGTATATGACTGTTAACAAAGTCCTGTAAGAGGATATCAAGCTCAGATTGAGAGGTTGCCAAGTTTCCATAATCAGGTAACACAGTTGTTGCATTTATCGAGGTGAAGTATTCATTAAATGCGTCAGCTATTTTGGCTGGATCCGTGACGTGTTCACCATTAATTGTATATTATGTACGTCTTTCTATGTTTACTTACTTTTTTCTGTTGCAGTTATCTCCTAATCTTCGCTACTAAACGTAATTACGACCGAAATTTCTAAGTGCAGTTTTACAATTTACTTTTATTACCAGTTTGCAGTGAAGGTCCTGCTAGATTTTTCTTGGTTGGGTATCAAAGATCTTGTGCTCTATCAGAGCACCATTACATGTGTGTACAAGTAAAAATATGAATTATGCAACCTGTTCAGTTTGTCTGACCTCACTTTGTACAGGATCCATTTGACTTTCAGCGGCATTTGATAAGTTGGTGGAGCACTCATCATCAGCGGAAAATTGGGGGCAAATCAGAAAGGAGCTAGATGAGAGAGGAGTAAGACTAACATTGAACATTGAGGCTAATTCTTGTAGTGTACATACAGTAAATGTTGTAACTTAATTTAAGTGAATTAAGTTCAAATCAGACCAAGATTAGTGTGATTTGTAATTTAAGCTGCAAAATACCGTTGATATATATGAGTCAACATCAAATTTTATAGTCAGTCTTCTGATAAAGGTGATAAAGTGCTTGACGACATTACTAAGAATTTCCAACAAATCACATTAAGGTGCAAAAACTGGTTTTCCTATAGGTCTTATTTATAGGTCTTATTGTCTGTGGGACCACAGGTAGAGCTAAATGATGCTGGTTTTTGATCTGCAGAATTTTCCAGAACTCTACGTGAGGCCTCTCATCAGTGTAGAGTTCTGGAAAAATTCTCACACGTTAAGTAAGCTAATAGTAGTATAGTAGAAAATGAACTACTGTATGTGACCTTACAGTGTATATGTGGCACAACTTGGTCCTGTCCTGGCTACCAAAATGTTACTGTTATGGTGTTGATTATCTGAATTTGTCAGGTATTGAATATTATGATATGTCTGACAAGCTCTTTTGCTTTCTTGTTCATGCTCTGTTTTACCCGTTAATCTAGCACCAAGAATGTGTACAAATAATGTAACTTATGATGATTCAGTTCGAAAATTATGTTCTGTGGTCTCTTTTAAGGTGGTTGAACTTTCGTGATGTACTTCTGGACTTTGTACTATAAGTTGCATTTTATGACTTAGCCACCCCTCCCTACACAGCAGCCACTGCTGTTCAAAACAGGTGGTTGTCGGCTCGCATCAAGGAAACTGTAAGTGATAATAAAAACTCAGGCTTGTCTGTATTCATGCATTTTTAACGAAGTTTGAGCTAGGTTTGCATTATACATTAACAATAATTTCAAGGCCACACATTTTGATTTCTGTTGACCCTGAGAGGGAGGGGATAGGTAAGAAAAAGCTTCTTTCCCCCGAGGAGTATGAAGTTTTTGTTTCCAGAAAAAAAAAAAAGAATATACGTTATACTGTAGTTGCAATTCCACTGAGCAAAACAGCTCAAGGGAATGAAACTGCGGACAAAGAGCCACACCGCTGTGTGAAAGTACTTCTTAAATTAACTTTCTTGTGACATTTTGAGTGTCTGCAAATAATGTTAGGACATATTCAACTGCTGTTTTAAATTTTTATTTGCCTTTTACCATTTTATAATTGTCATCTGAACATGCTATTATTTCCATTACAGTATTGTATATTCTACATTGTTGATGTTATCTTGATGTTGACAGGCCCTTACTACAGCCATCTGGGGAGTTTAAAAAAAAAACTAAAACTCAAGTAACAAAAAGGTTTGGTATGTTTACAAGGCCTTGAAGTCATGTTCAAGTCGATGCTAAATAATCAGGAATTATTGCCGGTGAAAAAGGGCCAGCTGGTTCTAGTGTAAGAGTATGGGTACCTACCCCCTCTTTCGTCTCCGTCCTAATTTCAACCTACATGTTCCTATACGATAAAAAAGGAGTAATTTTTGTGGTTAGACAAATTTCCTTGTTAGTTCTATTTCAGAGGTATCATCTGAAGCAGCACAGACACACTAATTCCAACCACAAACAACAAAATTAATATCTTTTTACAAGTTACTCCTGGAAGGACGAGTAGTAAAACAGGGTTTGATCGCAGGCACTGCGGAAGAAATTCACTTCGTTAACCAGACCTTCTTGGAAAATGGAAAGGCACTTCTGCCGTTCCTCAGGCCCTACTTGGACAAAGAAGTGATCTACGAACTTCTCCAGGTGGCTTTTGTGGCCCGGGCTTGGCTTGTTGTCTTCAAACCAGACGTAATATGGGTTGTTCTTGTTGACTGAAGCGATGAGTTGGTCGGCAATCCAGGGCCATAGCATGGTACATGGTAACATGGCAATACACAGGTACTTGGGATCGTTTTGGCTCAAGGCACGCTCATATCCCACGTACGTTGCTGCTGCCGGCCCCATAACCACGCTGTCTGTATTTTGGAGCCGCCATGTTTGTACAAAATACTGGTTGTAGCTTTTGTAACTCTCTGATTGGGCCCTGTAAAGTAAAGCGAATTCAGGTTTGCCAACTTCTTGCATCTTCTCAGCAGCTCGTTCGTAAGAATCCACTGCCTTGAAGCAATAGGCAGCATCCTGCACCGTGTAGCCGCCAAAGACATTGGGGTCAAGTGTTCCTTTAACCATGCCCTGGATATACTCGGATTCCTTGGCCAGATTGCAGATGATCTTACTCTTTGGATCGTTGAACAAGGCGCTGCTGAAAGATCCTTGTTTGAGAGAGGGTATTTGTGAAGAGGGTGTTACATCCGGTGAAAAGGAACTCAGATGAAATGTGACCTTCCGCGCTGTCTGAAGATTTTTTCTGGTTTCTTGGAAGGAATAAGAATTCATTCAGATTTCTTACGCATTTCCAGCGAAATGAGTATCAATACAATAATACAATACAATTTATTTTATGTCGGTAACGTAGGGGGTGGTTACCCAATCCCCCGAGCCTAATGGCTCATGTTGAAAACGCTCGACAATCAGCCTGATTGATTGTAAACCTGAGTATCAGGGTCAGAGCAGGAGAGGAGAGGAGGAGATTGCTTTTCATTTCTTAGCGGATAGCTTTATCGTCTCGAAGTACAGCAAAACACGATCGAAATAGAAAGGGGGGGGGGGCTGAGGAAGACAGATTAGCCATTTACTGTAATGTAGACTTCAATTAAAACTTCGATGCAGATCAAAGAACACTGACCGGTCTACAACACACCTTAACGATGTTTACAAAACCTGGGAAATTAAGGCCGGCATCTTGCTTTCTCTGCCGATACTGTAATTTAAGTATTAAATTAAAAATAAACTGAACTATCAATTTGCTCTTTTATGTGTGCAAGAGAGCTGGAAAAAGAGGAGAGGGCCATTTAAGACAGCGGCAAAATAAGAAAAATAACATTTTTGATAAAAAAAAAATCGACTGACCTTTAGCGTCACCCATCATAGAATCTGAAAACATCAGCGATGATAACAACTGAAAGAGAGCACACTGGAATTAGCTAAAGAGAGAACACTATCTCAAAATTAACCTTATAGTACTTCATTGAGGGTAGCGGAATAGCGAACACTTGTTTACAATGTTTGCCAGCTCCATGCTTGATCATCAATTCATCAATAGGCATTTAAAATCGATACTATTATCCAAACTTAGACCATGTAGTTGAGGACATGCACCCTTTTATTTAGACTAAATATGCTTATATCTCTGCAAGTCAGAACACTTTTCATTTTATCTTTGTTCAGTTACCCCGAAATGATTATTGGAAACAGGCCAAAATTACGTGAAGACTTGAGTCATGTTGGTTTCAAGTCGCCACATGATTTTCTAGAAAAAAAAAAACAAACATCTCAAAAGGAAACGGGTTATAGTTTATCGGATAATTATACATATCTATCTTCATCGAGAACCTTCAGGAGTTAAGCTCTAATAATAAGGAATTTTTCGAACAAAAACAATGTGCCCTTGTGCACTAAGTATCTGTCTCTGGTGGACAAAAAGGTAAATCTTTGTCCGTTTACCTTGCGCTACTCGAAATTCCATATGCGACCGAGCTAATGAAATAGAGAGCCGTAAGCAGTTTACAAATGCAACATTCCCTACTCCTCGAACTAGATACGGTGATGGACGAGGAATAAACTTAAATACCACTCACGCAAAGATATTGGATCTCGGATTAAGACATGAAGGTTTTAAATCAAAACGGAAGTGATTCCTTAATAGGTCTCCTCATTCAGTCTAAAAATGATATAGCGCGCTAACTGGGGTAAAATATTTCTCGAAAAAGAATTTCCACTTGGAAAAATGCAAAAAACGATTTCAAAACGAACGGAAAGGCTTTTCGCCTCGAAATCAGAGACGCTTCACGAAACCAAATGAGATCCTTCAAAAAGAAATTTGCCATAAATTCGGAATGAAATAATCCGCTGCTATTCAGAGAAAATTCTCTTGTCTCCTATCATTGGTAAGTCCTCCTTAGAAGTACTTAGCTACAAAGAAAAAGACGCCATTGTTGACTTTTGTATTGCTTCGGTTTGTAGTTTGAGTGCATGTGATGTACCCTCTGTATAACTGACTCCTAAAAAATTGTACCTCCTTTTTTGCGCTATATGACTTATATTCCTGTTTGCCGTGTTTTATTCTTACTGTGAGCCTTTCCTCGTTAGAGTTTGTGCTCTGTTGTTTGAACTTTGATTATAAATGCTCTTGTGGTTTTTCTGATTAGTTATTAAGCAAAGTTCATAGCATTGGTTCGATTGTTTTATTTGCGTCAAGTGCAGAGACAAGTTTTCTCAAGAGGAAAAGATTAACTAACGGAGTGGATCTCACGTTATCTTTTAAGCCAGAAGACCTGAATCACAGTAAAGGTTCCCTTCAGTGACTGCAGTGAGAAACATTTTCTTTAACCATTAGTAACTAAAGCTTATTTTACGAAGTTGTTTTGAAATGACTGAGGTAAAAACCCTTCTCACAAAGCGAATCGAAAGATATTTTGATGTTTCCTGATTAAAATTGCCTAAATTGGACAAAAAAACACTTTCGCACGCCGAAATTCATTTCATAAAATCATCTTTTAAAATCATAGAGAGCGTCTACTTTGTTTGATGATAGTCGCCATTGGTAGAGCCGTTTTGACTCTCCCATAGAGATAATCACCTCCATACCGACAACAGCACGTCGATCGAAACTTTTCGGTGGCAAATTTGTGACTTTCTTTTGAAAACGAACAACGTTTTTCAATGCTATGAAGTCGATAACGATGTGCATTGCTTTACAAGGCAAATTTCGATGGTCTTGCCCCACAATGAAAAGATTAAGACACTTCTAGTTTTAAGTTCTATAAAGAAAATTTATGCGAGACAATGTTATCGAGAGAATGACTGTAGGAGGCAATCTTGGCTGCTTTAAGTTAAACTGAAGTTGATAACGATCCTAACCAACGCAGTGTATCGCTCAACCATTCTACCGAGTTTAGTTTTTTTAAGTAATACCTGTGCCGAGGTAAATGTTTGATTACGAACACGAATTGTAAAGAACCGACGCCACGTTATTTTATCGTGATCATTGTACTTTCTAACATTATTTCAAGGAACTCAAAATACGTCAACTAAACAAATGGAAGCGTAACCTTAGCGCAAAGCTCCTCATAAATTATGTTGGTATGTTAACGTTTTCCAAGAAAGTAATTTGACTGCTTAAGGAAACATTCAAACGCGTCTCGAACCGAAAGTAAACATTCTTCTTCGTTATGTATTTTGAGAGCATCTCTTTAGAATAACGACGCCATCGATTTCGCTCACCTAAAATGTTTTAGAGAAGAATGTCGTCAAGTTTCGATTTTTAGAGTTCAGTCTACGGCCTCTGTCCCATAGACTCTAATGGCATGCAGCTAGTGCCTCGCTTGAAGTCGCCTTCTACGCACAAAGAACAAATTTGTGCAGATGCATTCGCTGGTTGATCAACCAATAACAAGTGAAGTGAAATGAGAAATCAACTTACCAAAGCTGTTTACTTTTCTCAGAAGTTGCTGAAGTTGAAGGAAGGTGATCACTTAAAATGCTCAAGAAATGTTATCTGTAGGATCCCAGTGACTAGCAATGACTCGTCGCTAAGGTTGGCTGCAAAATAAATAGTTGATAGAAGGAAAAAAGGGCGTTCAATATTGTTGACGTTCTTCTATTGATCTAGTATTGTGATTGGCTAGTTTCATTCTTTGACAGAATATTATGTGCTCAGAAGTGGTCCCGGGTGTACTCTTTCGTTTTTCAGGGCAAGGTCAGAGAAATAAAGATTACAAGAATTTATGATCAAAACAGCTTGTTTTCAGCGGGATACTAACGCATTAATGACCAGAAATTTCTGGTCGTCCCACGGTCATTTAAATGACCGCAAGTGAAAGCAGCATATCGTGTTCCCTATGTTTTTCCCTCATTTTTCTATTCTGGCGATGCTCGTCATTTTTACGATGCACACAAACCCACGAAGGTCAATGAGCTCTTTGGCCAAACTCGTAAAATATCTGACAATCTTTATGACTTATTACCATGCCTTAGGATGTCGGACAACTCTTGCGTTCTTGTAGATTTGGTCACGGTCGAATAAAATTAATGCGTTGTTAAGACTGGAAACAAATAATTTGTTCGAAAGTAAAACAACCATGTAGCATATTTTCATTTTAGTTTTTCATTTTAAAGACCAGAAATGACCCCAAGTGAAAGTAGTTTATCGTGTTTCCTGTGTTTTTCCCTTATTTTTCTACTCTAACGATGTTCGTCATTTTTTTGTTGCACACAAACCCACAAAAGTTAATATCCTTGGCCAAACTCGCAAAAAATCTGACTTATTACCATGGCTTAGAATCTCGGACAAGCCTTGCGTTCTCGTAAATTTAGTCATGCTAAGAGAATTTCATTGACTCAAACTAGTTTCATATTAACTTCTCGAGCGCAACGAATAAATGCGTTGTTAAAGGTTTGAAACAAAAGATTATTTCAAAAGACAGAAAAACCATGTAGGATATTTTCATTTTAGTAACTTTACACTTGAACATAAAACTCTTCTTTCATTCCTCTTAATCGCTCTCTGTTGACTTAGCGAGGCATAGAATATATATGTGTTGAAATTTTCGGTATTTTTTCATTATTTCACCTGGTTATTAACCTTCCGCAAGCACAAATGAACGCAACATTTCGTAACTCCCAAAAAAAAGCAACTAAACTTCCGTTGATTCCAATCGTTGTGTTTGATAATGAAACTGCACGAAAACGGGAAACTCTGGTTATTTTTGGACTGGAGGATTACGACCACAAATGAATGGAACATACCGCATCTCCGAAAAAAAAACTGTATTTCCCATCCCACCGAACAAAACAGCCCAGGGAATGAAACTGTGGACAAAGAGCCACACAGCTGTGTGCAAGTACTTCTAAAATTAATTTTCTTGTGACACGCTGAGTGTCTGCGAACTGAATAACACTGAGGCGTATTCAATTACTGTTTTAAAATTTTATTTGCCGCTTACCATTTTATTGTTTTCATCTGAACATGCAATTATTTCCATTACAGTATTGTATATTTCTTATTGCTGATGTTATCTTTATGTCGACAGGCCCTTACTACTGCCATGTGGGGAGTTTTAAAGGCTAAAACTTCTTATCTTAAGGTCTGTTGCCACTTCCAGCAACTGACATTTTTATCTCTTTTAACCTATGTTTAAAACCAAAATACACAGTATTCATAGTCGATCCTTATTTAAACTGAGACAGAATTTCTTCTTACAATATCAATACAATATCGAGCAGACAAGCTATGAATATAGAGAAAAATATAAATCAGGTGATTATTAGTTGATTCAATGCCAAATTCTCCAAACCAACATTATAAAAGTTTCATGGCAGACAGTAAGGAGAACTACTGACGAGATCTTAGGGTGAAAGTGTCAAAATCTTGTACCCCAACTAAATTTGCAGCTATTGTAACTAGTGGTGTCGTTTTCGAAGTTTTAAACTGTAACTTTATATAAGCAGGGACTAAAGAAGGGCCTCTCTGTATAAATGGTGTCGCTGCTCAACTGATTTTGGACGTTTTTGTGAACACAGGACCCTTACGGTTTCATGGCTCATTTCTATGTAGTGACGCCGTATGTTCTCTAGTTCTCGCCTGAGAATTCTTAGGATCAGATGACAAACTGAAAGAATTCTGTGAATCCTTCAAGATAAATTAATTTATAATCATTGACAGTCATGCGTATGTTATTAATTAGATATAATTCAAGAGTTAAGTGAAAACTGTATTTTCTCAAATAACTGGTCAGGAAGGTTGACGAATAGTAAAACAGGGTTTTATCTGAGGCACTGCGTCGTGTTTTATTCTTATTGTGAGCCTATCCTCGTTAGAGTTTGCGCTTTGTTGTTTTACCTTTGATCATGAATGCTCTCGTAGTTTTTCTGATTAGTTATTAAGCAAAGTTAATAGCA